TAAGAACTGCAGAGATATGTGGATACTTTTGAATAAAAATACGGTCAAAGATGCAAAAAACACGTCCAAAGAGAAAGGGGTTTTTTTGCCTGTTGAGCAAAAGAAGTTCAGCTGGAAGTGACCACAAACAGTTGTTGGCCACATATTAAAAACCACTGGCGAGGGAACAAGCACTGGCAGTTCCCACTTGTGAACAAAATCAAACTGACAAGTGAAGGCAACTAACTTTGGACATCAGTTATCATTTTCTACAAGTCAGACACTAGTGGCCTTACAAATAAAACTGATGGTCTCTTCTTATTTCTCTTCTTTCTTTCACCGGTGTGTAAACGTAAAAAGGAAAAAATGAAGCGGTTACATAAGTTGAGCAGAGAACTGGGAATGTGCAGGGAGAGCCATCTGTCTCGCTCCCTTTATGCTGTGTTATACACATGGCACTGGCTTGCACCCTGCGATCTAGCAGAGAAGGGAACCGAGTGAGTGCTGAGGCAGCCCAGCTCATGCTCCCAGCAGCACCGAGACGGAGCACTGAGCCGCAAGGAGGAGGGAGAAAATAATGCGTTTAGCAGAGGATGCGAGACTGCCGACCAAAGGGCCTCTTACGCGCTCATCGCTGAATGAATTAAAGTTCTCGGGGAGGAGGCCGGGGAAACCGGAGCGAGCGGCACAGAAAATGTGACAGGAGGGAAGGAGCCAGGAGCCGTCAGGCGGGGACAAGAAGGACAGACGCCAGCGGCCGGAGCCCGAGGCCCGGCGGCCCCGGGGGGGCGCGGGGGGTCCCGGCGGCGGCCGCTCCTGCCCCCGGGGCTCCGGCTGCCCCCGCCCGCCGCGGGGGCGGGAGCGCTTCGGCCCCGAGGAGGGGACCCAGCCCGCCCCCGGGGGATCCCCGCGGGGCCGGGGCGCTGCAGCCCGGGCTCCCCGGCCGCCCCGGGCGGCGGCGGCAGGACGCGCACCCGGCCGGGGCAGGGCAGGGCTGGGCTGGGCCACCCCCGCTGGGCCCCGCGACCCCCCCGGCCCGGCTGCGGGCGCCCGGCGGCGGCCCGGGAAGCGGCCTGGAGAGCGGCGCTGGGAGCGATGCCCAGGGCTCACCTTCCCCTCCCCCCGGAGAAGCGCGCTTCAAAATGGTTTTGCAGGCGAGGCTGGCCAGGCTGCGCTCGGTGCAGGGCTTCCAAGAGCAGTGCCTGGGTTGGTTTCCGTATATTCTTTGGCTTTTAATAGCTAGCTGAGGAAAAAAAGAAAGCATTATTGTTTTCTTTCTTTCCTTCTCTCATTGCCTATTCTAAATTTGACTCCAAAGTTTAAGCAGTTGAATTGGCTAATTCTGAATACAGTCTATTGAGAGACCAGACACAGCAGTATATCCCTGTATAGCAATAGATACAATGTGCTGAATTGGCAGTCTAATTATAAATGTGGCATTTGGACCTCCTTTCAGACCCAGTGCCACCTTACCTTATGAGGGAACTTCAACTACAGCAACTGTTCAAAACAAAATGCCATTACAGGATCAGCTTCACCCAACACTGGAACCAGCCAGGGGATTGTTTTACAAACAGCCTTTCTCACTTAACACAAGAATGTATTATAAGGAAAAGTTATGGATAGTGCAGAGTCTGAAGAAAACGCATATGTAGTTTCTGCCAGGTGTCGAGCTACTTCAAACTGCAACATACTCCAAATGACCTCATTATTTTCTTTTAAACGTACTCACTATAAATAATTATTTCTTAGTTTTACTAGAATGAGCTGCTAGGTACGCTTGGTGTTTATATTCTGAGAGTAGTGTGCATGTAACATCGTGAGCACAGAAACACGCGAAATATCCTGGCTCAGAACAAAAACCTGCCATAAGATCTTGCCAAAGAATCATGGGGTGCTGAAAAAAGTTTTTTAAAGAGTCTTTTCCAGGGAAATATTTGTATGTAATGGCAGGCTGCATGCACATATCTCACATTCATTCTTATTATTTACTTTATGGTATTATAATGGCTTAATTAAGTGAGTGGGCACAAGCACGTCAATAAAACAAGTCAAGTCAAGTCGAAGTCTCAAAACAGGTTTCAAAATTGCTCCATTACACGAATACAGAAAGGGAAATTCGTTAATTTTTGGACTTCAAACTCTGTTTGAGGACTGGATAGAACTGTTCTTCTGTCCTCAGGATCAGCACTGAAGACAGAAATAGCAAAAATGTTAAAATGAGGGTAAAAGAAAGCAGTAGAAACAAAGTGCCGCCCGTGTGCCGAAGGCTATTTAATTTGCTTAATAAACATATACCTTATCTACAAACAGCAGGCGAAGATATATTACTTTATCACAGAAAGTTTCACCCTCTATGTTTTTGGGAAACACCCCTAGGACAGCACTAATCTGCAGTCCCCAGGCTCCCACTGGGCTGCCTTTCCCTGCGGGCCCTCCTCTCCCCCCCCCCCGCCACTCAGACACAACACTAATTGTCCTTTCACGGTGCCACTTTCACTCCTTCCCGTCCTTTCAAAACAACAAAACCGCAGCAAACCCCACGGTGAGACGGCCCGCAGGAAGCAGAGACAGCGCTCGGCTGGACAGCAGGGGTGGCTGTGAGTGACCTCCGGGCCCTGCCCGGGCTCGCAGCCCCGCGGGCTCGCTGCTCGGGGGCTCCCCGGCTCGGGGACACGCTCTGGCAGCTCAGCTGGCAATGCACGCGTGGAAGTACCTGCTCACATCCCGCCTATCTGCTCTCCCTCTCACGTTATCTACACCCAGCCGCGACCCCGCCGCCGGTACACGCGTACATGCATTACACGAGCGGGCAGCGCCGGTGCCCGCTCCTCCCCGGAGCAGGGCAAGCCGCAGAGGCACACTCATTAGCTCCCACTGATGATTCCTTTCAGGATCATGAATGGAACAATTGTCAAAAACTGCGGGAAAAAAAACAAGCCCCGAGACTATTATATACAGACACAGCTTGTGTGCACGCATGTGACAGTTGCAGGCAACCCAGATTTGGTCATAAACTCTTCAGCATTATCCGAGATAAAACATCAAATTGCTTATACGGTTAAAGAGGTTTCTTATCCCCAGTCAAAAAAATAAACAGCTTCGAAGGTAGTGAAACCCAGGAAAAGAACAAGCTCTTCACCAGACACACCTTGCCTCACTCGTATCCTGCAGCACCGCCTGTAAACAGCTGCGCTGGCTTGTTGCAACTGCCACTATTTTATTTTAAAAGAAGAATAACAGTAATAATAGTTAAGTGAAATACTTCCTGAAAACTTACTTTGCATTTAGTTTAGGCACTATTCTTTTTTTCAGCTCGCAAAGGAAGCCGTTTTGTCCAGGTTAGGTATTGTCTACTTATGGATCAGCCCCTGGCTAAGGGTTTATTTTAATTTATGGCTTATGCATTCTTTTAAGGTCGATTTGCATGACCTCCGGCAAAGAGCTAAGGCAGCAAGAAATCCCAAGTCGACTGTTGCCACAAAGCGGCACGCATCTCCCCTTCCCCAGGTGTAAACAGAGCTCTCTGATGATGGACTGCTCTATTCCCCCCTCCTCGTGTATCACAAATTAGGGTGCGATATCAATTTTAAAGTTTTCCGTATAACTTTATCCGAAGGCTCTGCTGGGAGAGATAAGGCGGCGGCGCAGCCCGGCGGCTCCTCGGGACAGCGCCGCGCCGTGGCCGATCCCGGCATTGCCGCCGCCGCTCCCGCAGCTTTGTGTGCCTCCCCGCACTCGTCCCTGGCCAACTTCAAAGCACTCACCCACCTCAAACTTAGCGGAGAACCTACAAGCACCACTAAAGTCCCCTCGCCTTTCTCCATCCCGCGTCTTTTGGGGTTACCCGCCAGGAGGAACCCACGCGAGCGCTTCGGAGCAATGACAGCAAGCGCTCCGCTCTCGAAGATTTATTTCGGATTTTATTTTTCCTTTCTTTCTCTCTTTCTCCCTCTCGTGTTAGTTCCTTACGTACAATATCTTCCCGCACCATGTGTTCGCCTGCCGTGGGTGATCTTAAAATACAACGCTGATCTGTCACTACATTTTAAAATAAACTCTACTCGGGAAGGATGAGAAAGTGTTGTGATTTCAAGGTACTGGGGTCCCTTAACGTCTCGGAAACCTCGGGATTCAAACAGCCCCGGAAACACGCACGGGGACGAGACTATAACTACTTTTCCCTAAAGGGGAAAAAAAAAGTAAAAAAACCCCACAACACCCTCGTGATATAAAAGTAAATAATCGTGCAGGGGGAGGCGGGGGGAAGGGGTGAATTCAGCAATGTTAAAAGCTAAACAACAGATCTATCTCCGGACGCTGCTGCTTCACTCAATTGCAACTAATAACCCATTAAAGACAGCGCAGGGGGAACCGGATTCTCTCCTGCAAAGCGACATAAATCCAGCGAAAACCCATTAAACCACCGCCACCGCCACCAAGCCACGCAGCACTACACACCACAGCAAACAACAGGTATACAACACAATAGGGCTGGTTTTCCTGGTTACCTCCTCGGGATCCAGTGTGGCACAAAGCACTGGGAGAGCCTCCTTTTTTTTTTTTTTGCAACGCGCTTCGGTAATTTTCATTAAAAAAAAAAAAAAAAAAAAAAAGGAAGGTGAAGGGGGGAGGGAGAGAGGGAAGAGGAATAAATGGGTAGTAATTCGGTAAAATAAAATAAAATAAATGAACTAGAGTCTGCTGGTGTTTCTCCGGGCCATGGATGTGCAGGATCCCGATCGTTAGAAGTTTGCGGATGGGTTGCCTGGAGATTTGGTTACAATCAGGTTCATTTTTTTTTTTTCCTCCTGAAACAAGTGAAGGCGATGGTTACTGCTGTCAATCTTGGCAATCAATGTGAGCGGCCATGTCGTAAGTATTCAAAGCATTTCCCGTCGTGCAACATCAGAAAGTGAGTGGCCAGGGCATTGATCTGAGGAAGGCAAAAGGAGGCAGGGCTCCCCCGCCCAGACAGCACAGGCAAGATGAGACAACACAGGGAGAGAGAGGAGGGAGAGGGGAAGGGAGAGAGAGAGAGGCTGGGAGCGAGCAGGGAGAGCAACAACTGCGGAGAAAGTGAGCACAAAACAGAAAGTGAAATCGGCGCGGGCTGCCAGCCGCATCCCCGCGCAGCTATCACCACTCACAGGGCCATTAGACACATGAAACCCTACACCGCTCTGCTCTCGCTAATGACCACTGATTGCCCGGAGTGGTGAGGAAAGGTACTAGAAAGTTACCGGGGAGGGGGTGCGAGGGCGGGGCGGGGGCCGGAAAAGGAGGAGGGGGAGCGGGGGGGTCCCAGGGGAGCCGGTTCGCGGGGCCGGGGCGGCGCGGGGGGGGGGGCGGCGTGTGACACGGGGCCGGCCCGCCCTCCTCCCTCCCGCCCCCGCACCGCACCGGGTGCGTGGGGAGGCACACGCGAGAAGAGTCCTGCCGGGCTCCCGCTCATGGGTTACAATAAAAAAAAAAAAAATAATAAAAAAAAAAAAGCTGGAGAAAGACGATGTGCGGGAGGAGGGAAGGGCTGGCGGGGTGTGGAGGGAGCGGGGACGAGAGGGAAGCACTCAGCAAGCGCTTACTGACAGCTGATAAATGGGACTCTGAAGAGCCCGATCCCGCAGCCTGGCCCGGCGGAAAATAAAACAGATGAAATGGAAAGTATAAATTGCTCTAGAGATGGGAGTCCAGCTACAGGGACCCGGGGGAGAGGAGGCAGAAGGCACTCAAAGTCCACAAACTATTTAGTGATGCATTCAGCAGAAAGGTAAAACGTGCGTGCAGTGAAAAGGGAAAGACAGGTATGGCCGGAGAGGGAAAACTGATTTAGGACGGACTCGAGCTGAAGTTGGGATTCTCGTGGCGACGATGAGAAATTTTAGCAGCGGTACTATATAAATATCCCTCTCTCTGCCTACCAAAAGGCAACAGATAGGGACTGGAATATCAGCTTGAATACCAATTTAGGAACTCACGCTCCTTTGGAAGTGCTAATTGGGGAGGGGGGGGGCTGATCTGGGAAAAAGAAGGGAAAACTGTAAGGAGCTGAGGAGAAAATCAACCAGTGGCAGAGTACTGCAAACCCAAGAAAGTCTATCTGCTGTATTTTTGCATTCCAAAGGTAAACATGAAAGAGTCTTTCAAACTGTCAGGGGCCCGCAGATCAGGTGGGCAAACAGCGCTGCAGAGCTAACGTCTCCCTCTTTTGATATTATTCACACCTAGGCTAAACTGTTGTTAAGATGGGAGTGCGGAAAGCAACCTCAAGCCCACAAAATGAGAGAGAGAGAAGTTGTTGATTCATCTCTGTATTTTTGGCACTTTCTCCCCGTTTTCCAGAAGGCGCCTGGAACAGTTAGTAACAGACAAACTTTTTAATTTTAAAATAGCTTCATAACTTATAGAGGCCAAACAGAAGAAGAGAAATCCTGATTTCGCTTTCCTCCTCTCTCAAGTAGAAATTTGTGGACTATGTTAGACCCAGAAGCACACTCAGCCCCACTGTGAATGAACCTTGCTTCATAAGGACGTGATTAAAATTGAGCATTAACGGGATGGCACAGGACAGACCTGACCTGCCTCTATTTCATTTTGTTAACAAGGTGTAAAACTCGACACACTACTGGAGTCATGCACGTTGCATCCTCTACCTTTGCTATCCGAGGTGCTATCGTCCCTCTCGAGTAGAGTCCAGGGAAAATGAGTTGTAAGTCAGAACCTCTTGGAATAATGGACCTATTTTATACAGTATTTTTGGGAATTACACTATAATAAAAGGAATAACCAAGTGCTATTCAGCAAGTAGCAAACACCTTGAAATAGAACTTTACAATTATCTAGTAAAGCTTTATCATCAAATTAACTGGATGAGGGCATAGTAACTCATTTCCTTTCATTCTTTCAATTTTAATAAAAGAAACTAAAAAAAATGACATTCAGAGACGGGGGAAATTGTATGACTGTAAATACTGAGTTTGTATTCACCTGCGTTTGGGTAATTCAAAATATGCACCTTGCTACAGTTATGTGGTGTATGGATTTAACAGCAGTAAATAGCTGCCTTTCCAGATATTGCTATGTCCTTTTTAATCTTTAATTATAAGAATTTCCGTAATTGGTCACTAACGCTTTCCTTGTAACACATTTAAACCTGCTTCAAGTAAAAGAAACACCTTGACTTCTTGCATAACTAGTAGCTTTGGAGCGGAAAAAAAAAAAAAAAAGGTCTGTAAGAAAAGAGATGTAAATCAGAACACAAGGAAGAACTATACTGCTTCAGTTTGCAACTCCAGCAATTTGTCAGTGGAAGTTTTTTTTCTTTCAAGAAACAGACAGAAAGGGGGAAAAAAATCAACTACTCCCTAAATGCCTCTAATGTAGCGTTCTCCTTATTAAACACGAAGCGGGAATGGGACAAGAGATGATTAAGGCATCATATAAATCTAACCGCCCACCTAGCTCCAAATCGGGGCAGCATCCCACTGCACTCCCGAAAATCCAGTGTAAGGAATGACACTGGGCTGGGGCAGGACACCGCAGGGATGCGGCCACGCTCCCAGGCGGAGCGCAAGCAACGCTCTCCAGCTTGTTGCTTCCCCTGTGTGATCAATTAAGTTACAGATGTAACTCACAGTGCCGGAGAGCGACAACTTCTCGGCACCAGGAAAAGAGGATTCCTTGGGCATTGTATGCAAATGTGCGTGTGTGTGTGTGAGCGCTGCACGGGGATAATTGTGGTTCCCTCTTTGTTTGCATAAGTGAACACCCGCCGTGTAGATCCGTATACACGTGCCGAGAAACAAGAAAACGCTTTTACTTTTAGTGTTACCCCACGTTTAGAAACCGCGTTTGAAATTACTTCCCTTGCTTTGGCTTCATTAAGGCTAAATCCAGGCAGCGCAGGCAGATGTTGAGGAAGGATGCTGACCTGCTGGAGGTCCCTGCAGAGGGAAGGGACCGGAGGCGCTCAGATCACGTCGGGACACTTACCTGTTCACAGCTGTCATTGCATTTTGCGCCGTCTGTCTCATTAAACACGTTAAAGTAAAGCAATATTCAACAAGCAAAGCAACCTGTCTGTGTGCTAAGTTGTACGTACCGCATCTTTAACATGAGGAGCAAACCTACAACTCTTGTAGAGTTGGCGGGAGGGTCTCAGAAGTTTTTGCTTCAAAGGGCAAGAAATGCCACTTTAAAAGTCATTCACCCACTTCTAAACTCCCCTCCCTCCCCAGTTAATGCCGGACAATTAAGAGGCATCTTTATAAATTCCCTCTGCGGACACTCTCCGACAATGAAGGCTTTTTATAGGTTTGCTAAAGATGTTCAAGAGAAACTTTTGCAAAATAATCAAGAGCATCTGAGAGAAAGCTAAAGGAAAGGAAGTTAAAGCCTGATCATCCGATTGGGAGAAAGTTTTGTTAGACTAGATAGAAGCATATTACTGCACGTTCCTTCAAAAGCAGAGCCATCAGCTGATACGAGTTCCCCTAGAACAAGAACCTCTGGCGATCTCCTCAAAATTTAGGGGACGTTTGTATTTTCTATTTTGTAACTCAAAGCTAAAGATCTGACTGAAAACAAAAACTCTGAATTCCTTACAGCGTCATCTGCCAACAAAATGTATTGTCTTGGCAGAAAGAGGATCAAGGAGATTTTAATTTAATTTTAAACTGTGCATCATCTTGACAGTGAAGGAAAAAGCCGCAGCAACAATCTCCCCACTCCACCCCCCCAAAAAAAAAAAAAAAAAAGGGAGGGGGGGAGACAGAACTGGAAAAACCACATAAACTTTTACAAAGAAAATAAAAGCAAGTTCGACATGAAAACCCCTTCCTGTCTCGGAAAGTTCATTTTAAAGGTCCCTTCTGTAAATCTAAAGTGCAAACACCAGGCTAAGGTAGTGAGTGGCTGGAATTTGCATGCTGATAAGAGAAGGCTGTTGTACTTACAGTGACAGAGGGCAGGCTGCGGAAGAAAAGCTGTTTGTGTTAGCCTGAGAGTCACCCAGGGCTGCAATGAGAGGAGAAGAGAGGAGTGGGAGTGCCAAGCTGGATACACCTTCACCGCATCTCATCACATCTGCCAGCCTCTCTCTCCCTCTCTCTTTCATTTCCACATTCCCTTTGTTCCTGAAAAAAAAAATCTACACGTCACATCAGTCCCCAGATGCAGTCTACACCAAAGAAAAAAAATGAATAATTCAATCAAACTGTGCATAGTCTCTAAGGCAATAAATCTATTGCACTTAAAGAAACGAAGGGTAATTACCGCTATAGAATTAGAATAAGGCCAGAGCGCGCAGGGATCCCAGGGTCTGTAAACTCCACGGTCAAATAAAGTTTCATTTATTTAATCCTTTGACATCCCCAATGTAAACTAAAGGGGAGGATCAGAACTTATTCCGGTTGGGTTTGAGAACGCCTGAAGTGAATGTTATAAAAGGAGAGCGCCCGTGATCTGTGACAAACACAATGCAAGGGAGTAGAAGTGTTTCACTGCATCACCTCCAGGGTCCGTTCCCCCCTCCCTAATGAAGAGCAGACAACACTCCCACTTCCACCGGCTTCTGCTGCTCGCTGCAAGTGCAGCGGGGATCACTGGCAGCCAGCAGCCGCCTTACCTGCTCCCGAGCGCCAGCACAGCCTGAGAAAAACTCAGGGGAAACGGCAATTTTGTTCCACGCTCTGGCGGAGAGGAGCCATGGGGGATTTGCACCGGCACGGATTTGACTCGGAACGCTGCCCCTGACTCGTGGATGTGTGCGGGGCTGAGGCTGGGGACTGCCCGCCGGGGGCGGGGGGAGCCCGCCGGGAGCGGAGCCCGGCGGGGCGGGCGGCGCTGCCGGAGCGCCGTGACAGACCGGCCGGGGCGGGATGGAGGGAGCCCCGCGTCTCCCGCTCCTGCCGCTAAGGCAGCTCCCTCGACTCGGAGGTAAGATGACTCTACATTGTGTTTGTCCTCCCCGGGTAACCCAGGTCCCAGGGGCACGCTGCTGTACTAACGAGGGCGGTGGCTCGGGGCTGTGGCTCAGATCCTTGTACCCAAACCGGGCTGGAGCTTAACGCTGGCATCTGCTGCTTTACCCTCTCAATCACATTCTTTGCGAACTTCTCCTGGGGGGGCTGGGGGAGGAGAGAGACGGGGAGGGGGAGGGGGGGAACCCCAGGTGAGACCGCGCTCTTCAGATGCCGCAGCCCCTCGCTCCGATCCAGCCGGGCTTTGCGCCGGCCGGGAAGGCTGAAACACCTTCCTCCGGAGCAGAGCATCGCGCACCTCCCCGTCCCTGCCCCGCCGTAGCGGGCGGTTTGATTTATCCAGAAACATTAACGGGACTGTTATTCCGGCGAAGGTGAAGCGGAGCGCGCTCCCGGCTCCCCGCGCCCGGGCCTGTGCGCGGGGTTAACGCGCCACCGTGAGGCGGCCGCGGGCCCCGCACCGAGCGCCCGCCGCGCTCCCGGAGCGCTCCCGCAGCCGAGCACAGGCGGGAGCGGAGACCCCGCCGCGGGGAGCCGGCAGTCCCCGGGACCCCGGGGGCAGCGCACGCCGCTCCCGCCCGCCCGCTCTCACGGGCCAGGGAAAGACGGGGAGACTTTAAGGAGATGGAAAGACACAAAGCGAATCCCCGACACCGGCGTTTTCCTCAGCCACCTGCCCCGGGACTCTCTCCCTCCTTCACCTGTCTCACTCGTCCTCCCCGGAGGTTTGCGGGGTGAGCAGGGCAAAGCGCACCCCGGCCCGCTCCTCCCGCCGGCACCGCTCCCGGTGACTCCCCTCCGACACTCCTGCTGGAAGGCAGTGTCCTCTCGGAGCATGTGC